GTATGCTACGCTTTCCGTTTTCCCCCGTTGTTAGGTGTGATTTGTAGTCTATGTGCCAGTCCATAAATTTTTGGTTTTTATCTTTTTTTAGGAAATCTTTGGCCGCAAAATCGTGCGTGCGGTTTTACCGGGGAAATTTCGCGGAATTGGGATGCGGCCGTCTGCGGGGTGTCACTCGGAAATGGGGACATTCCTCCAAATACAAAGAGACATTAGCTAGAGATGTCTCACTCTCTCTCTCTCTCTCCTTCTCGCTCTCTCTCCCTTCTAAATGACCCTCCCTTTACTTTGCCGCAAAATCCTCGAATTTCCATTTCATTCGGTTCCGCAACTTTCCTAGTTACAGTAAGCTAAGGCTATGTTTCTCCCCACCTGGCTGACAGGCGAGTAGGTTCCTAACTGATATTTTCTAGCCTTCCTCCTGTGATCTACTATTCCTTCTACGGCAAATGGTCCCTGCTAGCTTGCCTTGCCTCCTAAATGATTTCTGCTAGTTCACCTGGATCAACTGGATGCCAGATTATCATTTTTCACGTCCCAAATGATCGCTGCTAGTATGCCAACCATCTAATTCGATTTTCTGCCTGCCAACTTAACGTACCCGATTCCCCAAATGATTTCTGCTCGCTTGCCCTGTCTCCGGCACGATCTTTGCTAGTTTACCTGGCTCAAATGGATGCCAGCTTATAGATTTCTATATCCTAAACGATCCCTGCTAGTTTGCCAACCGTCTATTTCGCTGATCTGTCACCCCAAGTACCGTATCCCATTCCCCAAATGCCTCCTAAACGGTTTCTGCTAGTTTCCATGGCGTAACTGCATGTCAGATTAACAATTTTCACGTCCCAAATGGTCACTGCTAGTGTGCCAACCCTAGATTTCTATTTTCTTATAGAAATCTAGGGTTTTTTTACTTTTCTTTTTTTTTTTTTTCTTATTACCAGCTTACCTTATCCAATTCCCCAAATGGTTTCTGCTAGCTTGCCTTGATTCCTAAATGAATTTTGCTAACCTGTCTGGCTCTTCAGAATTCTAGACTATCGATTTCTATATCCTAAATGATCCCTGCTAGCTGGCCAATCATCTACAGGGTGTCCCAAAAAAAAACGAACCATCTGGCATTTCGCCGTGTTACATGCAATCGGCTCAAAATTTGGACCAGAGGTGTATCAGACCCTAAATAACAACAATCCTGACTTATAGCCCCGTAGCTATCGTCGTTCTCGAGTTATAACGAAAATACTGTTTTTCATGCAATTTTAAACAGTTTTTTCGGCTATCTTTTTTTGGACTTTGCATCGATTTGCATCGATTTCCGGCTACGAATCCCTAATTTCGCTTAACAACTGGGCAATTTTGCGTTGTAAAAATCGCTTAAATCGAAGCTTATTTAATTAATTTTACACTGGAAAAAATTTCTTAAGGTAAAGAAGGCCTTCCGGATCATTTTCACTTAATATTAAAGGGGTCTAATTCCACGAAAACCCTATGAAAAATACAAAATAAAGTTTGTTTTTGCCATAACTCGAGAACTACTGTAGCTACAGAGCTATAATTCAGGATTGTTGTTATTTAGGGTCTGATACACCTCTGGTCCGAATTTGGGACCGATTGGTTGTAACACGGCGAAATGCCAGATGGTTCGTTTTTTTTGGGACACCCTGTATTTCCCTTATCTGTCGCCCAGAGTACCGTACCCGATTCCCCAAATGGCCACTGCCAGCCTGCCCTACATGCTATGTTTATATCCCTCAATATATCTATTGGTATTGGATTGTGTATCCCTTCCCTTCCCTTCCATTCCCTCTACCATCCATCTCTCTCCCCCTCAAGCTCCCAAAAAAAGAGAGAGACCTCCACCCCAAAAAGAGAGAAAGAGAGGGGGACCATCTGGCGTTTGGATGTGGAAAGGGGGGAGGGGGGGGAGGGGAAAGGGGGGAGGAGGACCTCTCGATGGGCCACAACCACCCCCAACCAACAATTATCGATCGATCCGGATGGAAGGGAAGGGGAGGGTGGCAGAGAATATTGGGGAAATTGGGACCACTGGCTGCCAGTAGAGAGAAATTTGCATTTTTGAGGCCGAGGCGTCTAGCAGAGACCATTGAGGAACCTGAACTGCCTGTCAATGCAGCTAAAACACCGTTTTGACAAGCAGGCAAGCCAGCAGAGACCATTTGGGAGCCAGGATCTGGCCCGCTGGCAGTCAGAATACCCAAAAATCCAACTTTTGGCACCTAGGCGAGATAGCAGAGATTTTAGAGATAGACCAACCCGTGACCTGGCCATCAAGCAGGCTAGCAAACACCCTTTGAGAACCGCCACAATTTCCCTCGCTTTTTGCCGTGTCAAAAGTAGTGGTGCGTAGTAGTGAAGGGCGTTTGGATGCGTTTTTTTGCAACAGTATTGGAGTGGAATGGGGGCGTGGAAAGGAAGAGAAGGGAACAGAAGGGCCAGCTGGTGGATTGATGGAAAAACACTACAACCCAGTGCCCATCGATACACTTTCAGTCTTTTTTTGACGTGAAATGGACCAACTGGGGGGTGGAGAGAATGATGGGAAGCAAGCTAGCAGAGAGTATTTGGGAAATTCGAGGATTTTTGAATCATCAACTTGCGAACTGTACGCCAAACAACAAATTACGCTAGGAAATTTGAGTTTTTGAAGGGGTTTCCTGGGAAATTCCTAAAACATTCCTGCCAGTTTGCCCTTTCAGAGGTTGGGACGGGCTAGCGGAGACAATTTGTGGAAATCTAAATTTTTTAACCAGCGACCAGCCAACTGTACGCAAGACAACAAATAACGAGAGGAAATTCCCATTTTAAAGCGGTTTTTCATTGATTTCCGGAAGAATACCTGCCAGTTCACCCAATAAAATCAGGCCCTACCGTAATTTAAAATGAAAGGTGCCTGCATGCGTTTTTCCATATTTTCCCAAAGTGTGCCAGCCAGTTTGCCCATTACTCGACGAATTTCACGGATTACGGTGCGTCAGACAAAAAGATACGACCCTCGATTCAATTCTTCTACTGGGGATATTCCCATCATATAATACGCGCAATACCGAGGGGGGAGGGTTACGCAACGTTCCGATAAATCCCCCATCATCCCCCCACTCTCTCTGGATCTGGAATGGATTCCATATTGGCTGTTTTCTCTGCTTACCAATTTTTAGTTTTCCCCAATTTTTATGCAATTTTGAAATTTAGAGCAGATTCTTTAAATTCTTCTGAATATTCCAAAAACACGGTTTTTCCATTTTTTCGAAAAATGGGCCAGCGGATTACCGTAATTTTTTTCGAATAACGACGAACTGTCAGCCGGCTTACGCGAAAATGGATTCCACTGTTTCTATATCGACTTAAACCATAATAACCATTCTTTCAAAAAATGTTTGAAAAATCAAAAAATCTAGTTTTTTTTCGAAAATACGAAATAAAATAAAAATAAAATAAAATAAAATACACCAATAAACTGACAGCCATTCAACCCGAAAAACTTTAGCCTAGCTTTTTAAAGGGACAGTGCCACCAAAAATGGGAGCATTTTGGGTGCATTCCGACCGGTTTGGATTGATTTTCTGGACTCTCTCCTATCTCTCGCTCTCTCTCTCTAGCCTAATCAAAAATGTACCGACTCGAGCAGGTGCAATCTGTAGAGCAATGCCTTCTACCCTCTAGGGGCCAGTCGGGCCAGCTTTTCCCTCAACGAGGGGGGAGAGAGAAGCCGAGAGACCCGGAAAAGGGGCGGGGCTACGGTAGATGGGGGGAGTGATGATTGGGGATGAGATAAGAGAGAGCGATAGAGAGAGAGAGAGAGAGAGAGAGAGACGGACAGATAGACAGACAGACAGTTGCCATGTTCACACTACTCAGATAACATCAACAATTAGCACAAATCCGCGCCAAAACCTCGCTTGCTAGGCAGATTACCGAAAAATTTGCATAAAAATTTTTCTGGTACCAGAAATACCAATAATACTGGCGGAAACGGTTAACTGCCTGACAATGCGTCTGACTGTACGCTAGAAAAGTCATTAATGCCGAAAATTGAAAAAATTCCGGTTCAAGTCGATCCTGAAAATCATTGACCCTGCCCAGAACTACGGTAGCTGGGTGACACTATTTGTTCAGAGTCACCGTGTTAATCTCCCGACAATCCACTTGTCACCCCGTGAAAAGAGAGAGAGAGAGAGAGAGAGAGAGAGAGAGAGAGAGGTGTGCAGAGGATTGTCTCGTTGCGCAATGGCCACTTCTACTCCTTGGGGTATCTGTCCATTAAATACGGGTTAAGCCGATGCCCAAATCTTTGCATTAGCCACCGTGAATGGCAGACAATGCAGAACAGGCATTCGCTAAAAGAACTACCATTACTACCGTAATTACGCGGCAAAAATGGCAAATATCGATTTTTCAATTTTTTCTTTGACAGCTATTTTTCCCTTTCAAAGTGGTTCTAATTTGTAGTTTGTAGTACAAATTGGATATTAAATAGTTTTCAGGTCTACTGGCTGCCAGTCAAAAATCAAAACGGCCAAAAATTGCTTAAAAATGAGAAATATCGGTTTTTCTAGCTCGATAATTGTTCGAGTCGGCCAGTTAGCCAGTCAAAACCCTTCTAATTTTGTATTCTGTAGTCCAGCTAAGATTCTCAGGCAATTTTCAAGTCTACTGGATGCCAGTTAGCCAAAATAACTCGAAACAATTCAAATTTTGACCTAAAAATTTCAGTTCTAGGACGGAAAATCCGACCTACAGTACCTCCATTTTCGATTAATGGTCCCGTTGATCCCCTCATCATCTATTCTGGAGCTCATTAAGCGCCTCCAGCCATACCTCGAGGCTTCTCCCCCTCCCTAGGTTATATTGATTGTGGACAGGTGAAAATCTTGGGTGTCTCCCTCCAAGGGGTTTTCGACTCCCTAAAGTCACTCGGTCCAATTCCTTCCCTCCAATCCCGCTAATATTCCCCTTATCTGTCTTCCACCCCTTCTAAAGAGATGGGTTCCGAAGAGCTCCGTCTAACTGTCGACCCACAATTGCTGGCAGCTAGCCAACCGGCCGCTGATTATTTGAATGGGCTGATGCCAGGGCTGGCCTCTGCATTCCTGCCCCATCTCTCCGGATTTGCGGCACTGACGGTGGGGAGTGTGTGGATATTGTGGGATGGAGAGCAGTTGACACTTTCGCGTGGAAAAGTGCCTTTAAAAATGTATTTTGTAGACTTGTGTGGTGTATCTTGTAGTCTTGACTTGCGTGTCCCTCTAAAGTGTCAATTGTAATCTGTTGCCTAGTTTTTTGCCATAAATTGGTTATCTGGCAGTCAAGCTACCACTTTGTATGAAAAATTGACGTTATGGTTTTATTTTGTAGTTTTAGAAAGTCCATAGGTGTATTGTGTAGTTTTGTACTTCCTGGCCCCTCTAAAGCGGAATTGATAGTTTCTAGTTTGAATTTTTCCAGAAATCGGCTATCTGACTCGTAATGCGTCATTTCATGCAAAAATATGGCGTTTTGGTCGTAGCTTGTAGTCTTGCGGCGTCTATAGGTGTCTTTTTGAATCACGAACTTCCTTGTCCCTTTAAAATCCCAGTTTGTAGTTTGTAGCCTAGATTTTTAGCCGAAATTTGCTATCTGATAGACAAGCTATTAAAATGAAATTCAAAAAAATGTCAAAAACCAATTTTCCGCCAAGCTACCGTACCCCCAAGTCCAGCTCAATCCGCCTCGATCCATCAAAATCGTCAAATTTGCACTTTTTTACGTTACCACCATCTAGACTGACCTCCAGCTAGCCGATTCCCCTTGCCAGAACCCCCTAAATGGGCCCTGTGTGTGGGGAGTATTGCCGCGTACATCTAGGGGGCACACGACCTCTTTCCTTCCATGCCAGACTCCGCCCCTTTCTAAAGCGTGCCCTCCCTCCCCTCTATCCCCTCAATCCATTCGATCTCCTCCCTCCCTTCCCCCTCATCTCTTTTCTGTCTGTATTCCCTTCATTTCCTGTCGAAATGGCGATGGCCCCCCAGAAGCTTGATTCCCGGGGTCATCACTACCCATTTCCGCCCCTTCAGGTATTTTTTAAAAATTTATTTTGAAATTTTTGGGTTTGCTGGCGAACAGTTTGACGGTATATCGGAGGGGGAATCACTTTTTCGGCACAAGGAATCGAACCCGGGCCTTTTGCTCGTCAGGCTAGACACTAACCGATTGCGCCATCGGTTTTGGCCTCATTTCGCGAATTTGCGCGGTTTTTTTCCGTCTGCTGCCTGCCAGCGTTCCCATATTTTGAAAGAGTACCGCCTTTTTGGGGCCGAGGATTTGAACCCTGGCCTTTTGCCTCGCATGCCCGACGCTTACCGACTGACCCATCGGATTTTTCGTCAATTCCCGAAATCTCGCTATTTTCTCCCCCCCCCCGCCAGCCTATCTGACACGCGCACGCGTTCCATGCTTCGGATGGGGAGAAAGGGACGGCAGCTGGCCCTCGTTCCTTTCTAGATCCTCACTTCTACAGACACCTGTTCTTTCACTTCCACCCCCTCAAACACCCCCAGGCTGTGTTAGATCGAGACATTTCCGATGCTAAGGTGTGAACTGGCTGCCAGCTGGCTGGAAAAATCAGAAAAAACTGGGCAGGCTAGCAGCGATCCTTTGGGAAATCATTTTATGTAACCTGGAGGGCCTGAATTGACGATTTTCCGGATTTTTTTGGTGAAGATATCTCTGGCTCGAGTTAATTTCTATGCTAATGTGTAAAATGCCCGCGGGCTGGCCGAAATTTACATGAAAAATTGGACAAACTAGCAGCGATCATTTAGGAAATCGATTTTTAATCCAACCTGGGCGTCAATTAATTCTTTTTTGGCCGAAAAACCCCTTAAATGTTTTGAATTGGTTGCAGACGGCGATCCCGAAGCTCGACCCGGACAGCATTTACGTGAAAGAGGAGAAGCCCATCGTCCAGCCCCTACCGTACCCCGGCAATAACTTTCACGAGGTGCGCTACGGAAAACTTGGCTTTTTGGCTGCCAATAGCTTGAAAATTTCTCAGAAATATGTTTTAGCAGATTTTTCTGGTTTTCTGACTGCCAGTCTACTTTACTAATTTTTTTAGCATGTAAAATGACAGCCACTTTATTAATTTCTATCGTTTTAAGGAATTCCTCACCGCAAAATTTGACTTTTTATCACAAAAAAAATATCGATTTTCACCAATTAAAACGATTTTTATGCGTTTACGACTGCCAGTCGGCCTTCACAAGTCCTTTAAAATGTAAACTGACAGTCAACTCATCGCTTTTCAAGCTTGTTATTGTTTTCAAACAAAAATTTTTAAATCCTTCTTTTTATGGAGATTCGAATACTTTATCAATCCGACACTTTTTGTACTTTGTAGCCCCGCCCCCGTTTCCCTCTCAATTCAAACGATTATCAATATCATTAATGCATTGTCTCTTCCGTCTCTTCATTCCCCCAGTCTCTCTCTCCCCTTCCCTTTTCTTGTCTGTCCAATGGATTGCCGTGGAAAAGTGGCGGGCCGGCCATTGACCCAGTAGTTTGCATTCAGTTCCGTTTTTGTCAGTCGAAACACGCTCACTGGCTGCCAATTTACACATTTATTCAGCTATCACCCGAATTCTCTGAAATTTCCGGTTTTTACCCCGATTTCCCATCTTCTGTTTTCTGGCTCCTGGCTATTCAATTACGCCATATAATGGCTGGAACTAGATTTTTCTCTGGTTTTTGGCTAAACTGGTATACAGTTTGTCTTCTCAATCCCTTTAACCCATTAAATGACTGGCAGTTTACAAATTTTTCGTAGTTTTCTCATACAATTACGCGATCTAAAGCCTAGAAATCCATTTTTCCGCGTTTTTTTTATAATCTGACCTCCAGTTTGCCTTCTCAACCCGTTTAATGCATCAACTGCCTGCCACTTTGCCAATTTTCATGCTCACCGAGATCATTTTCGGATTAGTTCCACTTTTCTAGATAACTTTTGACATTAATCCCCCCAGATTATCGATTGATTGATGGATATATGACGGAGAGGATATATGATATCTTTCCCTGTCTCTCTCCCTCTCTCTCCCCCTCTTGATCCCCCCTCTAATCCCCCGTTGCCATCCCATTTAGGGTCGATCCCCTCTGGGTCACACTGCATGGGGCATAGGGGCCCCCAAAAACCATATATCGATCCCCCAGGGGCATGCTAGCAGGGATCATGGGGGAATTTGGGTAGGGAAGCTCTAACTGGCTAGCAGGGAGGTTAAATCTCGGCTGAGCTAGCCGAGGTCATCGAGGAAATCGAAAATATCGTATTTTGGACGCTTTTTCTGGATTGAGTTACAGTAAGTCTTTCATAAAATCCATTTTCTGTTTTAGCCTACTGTAAAATGTTGTCTGGCGTACAGTTTAGACATCAAACTGTATTTTTCTCAGTCAAGGCTAGGTAGCTAGCAGAGCATTTAGGAAATGGAAAAATCGGACTTTTGTTGTGATTTTTTTGGATTGAGCTACAGTACGTCGGTCAGAATTTGTAACTTTAGTTGTTAGGCAAGCGTAAAAAGTTGCTTGGCGTACAGTTTAGGATTATATCGACCGAAATACCCCTCTCTATGCAAACAAACCGTAATAACCCTCTTGAACTACCACTTCCGGGGGCAGCTACTTGGCCTTTGGTAACAGTATCCGTTTGCCTGTCAGCCAGTCAGTTTGTCTGTCTGTCTGTCTGTCTTTCTGTCCATCTATGTGGTTAACCCCTTCTTCTCGCGAGGATTGATCGATCTTTTCAAGGGCCCCCTTCCCCTACCCATCAATCTTTAGCGGAGAGCTAGCAGAGACTGTTTTCTTCTTCTCCTCTTCCTTCTAAAGCCCCATCCCCCGCAGTGAGTGCCAGTCAGTCAACCTCCCCGCCCTTTTAAAGGGATACCCAATGCAGAGACAAAGAAATTGACAAGGACAACTTTTAGGCGGTACTCTATCACTTACCGTAATCGAGTGATTGCGGTTTTTTGGCCTGGAAAGTTCGAATGTTGTGTCTGACTGTAGAATTCAGTCCACTGGATGGCAGTTGACAAGAAAAAAGGTTCAGAAAATTTTAAACGACCGGACAAGGCAAAATATAATGGAGTAACGGATTTGAAGTCACGCTTTTCGCGGCGTTTTCGTCAATTTATCATTTATTTGGATGATTCTACCTTTCCAAAATTGTAGTGGAAGTCATTTTAACAACATTCAACTCCCAAAAAACCTATAAGGACTATTAAACCGAGAATTCCGGTGATCCACTCAACCGCCACCTCTTTTCTGACCGACTTGGCCCACTTCCGCCTCTTTTTTTACTGAAAACACCAACTCGAATGGTTCTACCTGGAAGGGAAAATTGGCCCGGAAACGGGGCCGTGTACCACATTCACCCCCACCCACCCCACGAAAATGGTGCCCGCCTCGTTTTGGGGGAAGAAAAATGGGACACGCCGCCCCACACGCGCCCCCAGTCGTTTTGGGGTGACAGTTCGCGGGGATTGCGTCGGTTGCCCGCCAGTTGAGGGTTTCCAGCAAAAACTATGCCGAAAGCGTTTTTTTACAACGCTATTTGGTTTTAAAAAGTATTTTTTTAAACTTTCCCGTTCGATTACGACTTGGTACGCGGGACTCCAATGGACGCTCAACTGTGCAGTGGAGCGCTGTGGAACGTACAGAATAGGGTTTTCCGATCAGAAAAATTTGATTTCTAATAGATTTTTATCGATTTTTAGCGCTTTTTCTAAAAACTAAACGCTGGACTTATTATCTGACATCTAACTCACCGATTGAACCCAAAAAACCGGGACTCTCGGGCCCTATTAGCCACCGTGGGTCCCCTAATTCATTTTCTGTACGCATGGATGTATGTTCATTCATTTGTGGCTTTCTCTTTTTGACCCTGGTCGACCCTCTTCTCTTGCCATAGCTAGAGGCTAACCCCTAAAAAGAGCCTTGGGGGAAAGACAATGCCCCCCATAATAATGGCCCTCCCCTACCATGGCCCTAGTCCCCAAGCCCCCGAATTTGCATACCAAGGGCACATTGTCTCTCTCTCCGCTCATTTTATCCGTCTGTCTGTCAGACAGTCCCTATTTCTGTCGATATGTCTTTTATAAAGACCCCCTCTAGCTCTATTCTCTTCCATTTAATCGAGTGTCCTCCCCCTTGGGCTCAAAATTACACCCAAAACCTCTCATTTTCTACTCATTATATCCGTTTTTCTATGACCTTGGATTCTCGTATCCTTACGCTTGTATAATTATGGATTTCAGCGAGAAAGTCGGCCTTGAAAACCTAGAAAAATGGCCTGGAAAGTAGGGTTTTATGGTTTTTCGTTTTGCCGGCTTTTCAAGGCCAAATTTTAGCTAGATTCTCTGGAATTAGGATTAAAAATCAACGGAAAATAGATATTTTATGAATTTTGCTTTCTAAAACCAATTTCCCGCCCCTTTGCGACCTTTTTGCTGCATTAATGAGAGTTCTGATAGACTGATAAGGGCCGGGGGTATAAAAGGCTTAAAATTTCGTTTATGAAAATCCTCAGCCCTATCTTTTAGGCATTTAATTCGAAAAACAGTGCGTTTTACTTATTTTTATGCTCAAAACGAGTTAGAATCCCTATTACACTGTTATAAAACTTAGTAAAGTGAAGTTTTTTATCGCCTTCACTTCTCCTTGAATTTCCTATCTTTTTTTTCTGTTGATTATAGTCCTAAAAACTTCTATAAAATTAACTATGAATTTTCGTGGTTTTGTTTGTTACAGCTTTTAGTTTTGTAATCTGTATTTATCCTATTTTTTTTCCAGCACCCATCCGTTGGCGCCGACGCGACAAAAGCCCAAGAACAGCAACGAGCCATGGCTCAGGTAACGGGATTTTCGACAGTTTTTATTATTTTTTATAGTTTCCAGCTCTAGATTTATATATTTAAAAGGTTTATTTTAGTATTCGGACTACCCTCACCTATACGACACGTCGATTGTGATGCCCGGCGCCTATTACGACGCCTACGCCGGATATTCCTCCATGGCCGGTACTTTTTTCGATTTTCTAACGGATTTAGAGGATTTTTAAAGTTTCTAGAGTCGAAAATCGATTGCCGGTAGCTTTTTTTAGGATAAGAAAACTGTAAACAGGATTTTTTTAAGGCTGAAAAACCGAGCTTTTTGCGTTATATCCCAAAAATCACGTTTTTTCGTGCTTTTATAACCAATTTATATGTTTTAGACTTTCCAAAGTTGAAAAATTGATGGTTTTCAGCTTTTTTATCTAAGAACGGGTTTTCAGGCATTTTTTGCGTCGAAAAACTGAAGATTTTAGCTTTTTTCCCTGAAATTTAGGTTATTTGCTCTTTTTGTAAGGTTTCCAATGTTTTCAAAACTTTTCTAAGAGTTTATTTATGTACAAAACACGGAGACTATTCTAAAGTTTAGACAACCCCAAAATAATTTTGCAACATTTCTAACCCCATTTTACCATAGATTTTGCAGCGCCTCTGATGCCAATCGCTGCCACCGGGGATGGGACTGCCGATTTCACCGCTTCACCTAGCTACGGTAATTCTTGTCTGCAGATTCTCGTCATTACCTGAATTTTAGTGACAACCTCCGCGGTGACAGCCGCCCTCCCATCATCGCTTCCACAACAAGAGACATCCACTGGCAGCTCGGTGCTCGAGATTGGAAAGGTGAGGAGAGGAAATTGTAGTTTGTAGCTTGTAGTTTATCGATATATCGGCTATAATCGATTACGCGATTAAAAGGGCGTGTATTGAAGTTTGTAGTTTTGAAGCAAAAACCGGATTACGCGATTAAAACGAAGCTAGGAAAACTGAGGATGCTAAATTGATTTAGCTTGTAGTTTGTAGTTTTTCATACACAATCGATTACGCCATGTTACTCAATCCAACACAAATTTTTCAGCCAAACACGACGCAAGCCTCGGCAACGGGAAGTGCGGCCACGATCCCGACGGCCGTCACGCTATCAAATAATGATTGGCAAGCAGCCGCCGCATGGCAACAATATTATAATATGGTGAGGAACGGGGGTTATTGGTCAATTTTTCTTCGAGTTGACGGGCGGGCAAACCAGCCGAGATTATTGAGGAACCAGGGACGTGATGTAATTGCTAAAACTGGCAAACGAGCAGAGGAGCTTGCGGAATTTCGGGTATCAAGGGCGAATGATTCCGGAAACGGGCAAGCTAGCAGCGATTTTTGCGGAATTTGTTTGGGTTATTTTGAAGCAGGCAAACAAGCGCTGATTATGAGGGAATTTTCGTATTATTCCTAGGTCTTTAGGTGTGGACGATTTTTCGGGCAAGCTAGCCAAGTCTCCTTGCGAATCTATGACCTGAAGTGGCCAAAATAATTTTTGAGTTCGGGCAAGCTAGCAGCGTTTTTTGGGGAATTTAGGGCTTAGAATTTGTTAGGGACAGGCAAGCTAGCAGCGATTGTTTGCGGATTTTTGTACCCATTTTGCCCAGTTTATGTGGTTTTGAAGGTGTGAACTGGTCTATAACCTCTTCCGTTTGTCGGCCCTCCTTTTTGCCAGCAAAAGGCGCCAAATCGAGGCATTTTAGGCGGTGATCTTGGAAAGAGAGTGAGAGTGCTAGAAAGAGGCCATCCATTCCCCCATTTTGCCGGCGGCAATTCCGGGGTATTTGACAAAAAAGAGTAGTGGAAGGGAGGGACACTACACCCACATATTGCATTCGCCTTGGCTAGGGGCAGGGGATGAAAAAGTGGATGGAACGAGCTACCCACGGGGGAGTGGAAAGTTTGGGCCAGCGGGCGGGCTTTTTGGATTTTTAGGGCCTTTTTTGTAGAGTATGCTGTCAGAAGACCAAAAAATCTGATAAAAATTATCAAGCGAATTTTTCCAAAATCTAAAAATGCTTTTTGATTGAAAAATACGATTTTTAAACTTTTTAGATGAGATGTCTAATTTTTGAAGCGTATTTTTCGGCTTCTTCTAGGATTCGTGGACTTTGGTGGCCAGAAGATCGAAAAATAGCTAGAAAAATATCGACAGAATTTTTTTGGCTGTTCTAAAATCATTTTTATGAGTTGAAAAATACGTTTTTCCATTTTTGTACCTTTTCAGACGTTAATGATCTTATAAAAACAAGGCCATGATGATGAGCATGACATCTGCCGGCGGTATCTATCAAAAAGGCCACGATTCGGGGGCAACTAGCCGAGACAAAGGGGGAATTTACCCGGGGGGATGGCCTTGACTCCGGAAGGACATGGGCCTGTATAATAGCCTCTCTCTCTCTCTCTCTCTCTCTCTCTCTCTCTCTGGCTAAGAACTTGTAGAGATTGTTGTAGTAGATTATCTCAGGGTGGGGTGGGTACAGATCTCTCAATAAAGAGACTAGGGGGAGTGTGTCGTGTCGCAACCTTCAAAAGGTCTTCAAATGACTTGGGCCTTTTAGGTTGACCGCCCCTTTAATTGCTCCACAAATCGGGGAATTTCCACAAATGATCGCTGTAAGAATGCCGGGTCAAATAGGAATTCCATAAGGATCTTTGCTAGCTTGCCGGATTCCAAAAAAATGGAGATCGGTTTCTCAAATGACCGCTGCTAGATTGCCTGGTCAAATAGGAATTCCCTAAGGATCTCTGCTAGCTTGCCCGTCGGGTGAAATTAACCATTTTAAATTCCTGAAACGATCTCTGCTAGCCTGCCGCGTACTCATCTTGCAAACCGGAACCCCTTGACCGTTTAGGTCCAATTTTGGGGGTCTAAAACGACGAACCCTGCCCAATTGATGGGTCCTCCGAGGGGCAGATGGCAGATCTCGCTTTTCTGACTCCCAAATGTGAATTATTTACGGTTTAAAGAGCTTTTAACCATTAAAATAATTGAAACTACAAAATTTCTCGTGAATCGGGGTTTAGAAAGTTAAAAAGAATTTGAATTTCAGCGCAGAAGTTTCCAGATATTTTGGCGTTTGAAAAATGTTAAAAATCACTAGAATTTGGGGTCAAAATTTTTTGATTTGCATTTCCAAGGCCACCCAACTAGGGGCATTGAGAACTTCAGGGCGGTCACCCCCGGAAAAAGAGCCCCTTCGGGCCGAAAAAGGGCACAGAAAAAGTGGCGGGGGCGACTGTGAAAGTGTGGTGGTCGCGTGCCGGTTGATATTTTGATCTAGCAGGAGAAAGAGAGGGGGATTGGAGGGCCGATCTAACCACCCTCCCCTCTAATCAAGGGACCGACCCGAATTTGGGAGATTTTTCGACCAGAATAAACCCAAAAAGATTGGGTTTAGAAGATATTAAAAAATTTGCATTACTTCGGTAATTTATTAAAAATTCGATAAATGATTAATTCTGGGTGAACATTGGATTTTTTAAAATATAGCTTTATTTATTCCTTTTTTTCAGCCTCACACCGCCCACACGGACTACACGTTCGCCCAGCAGGCCGAGGTCGCCTTCTATCCACTGGCACCGGTAAGCTGACGGAAACTGGCTGTTTTTAGGAGCTCTCCGTACTTCCGCTCCAAATTTGGTTTACGCAAAAAACCGCGCCAGGCACTTTGGCCAAGTGGCTAGCACGTTTGTCTCCGAATCTGACTACCCGGGTTCGATTCCCGCGGGTGTCAAAGTTTTTGCTTTTTGAATTTTAAGCTTTATTCGGGATATTTTAGCATATCCACCCCTCCCACATCGTTACCGTACCCCATGGGGGGCATGGATAGGGCGGGAGAGGCCTCTTTGTGTAGTGTTTGGTTGGAGATCCAGTTAGCACCCTCCTACCCTCTCTCCTCCTCCCCTTTTATGATCCTCTTCGATGAGGCGGGAAAGGGGGGAAAGGCGGGAAAGCCCTCCTGCTCGCTTTGACGATTTGAATTTCAGCCCCAGCAGAAAACAGGATCCGGGCTCTACACCACCACTGGGCACACGCAAAAAACGCCCAAAAATTCGAATTTTTAAGCTGATTTAAGCAAAAAATAGGGCCGGGACTTTGGCCAAGTGGCTAGCGAGTTTGACTGCTAATCTGGCGACCCGGGTTCGATCCCCTGGGTGAAAAATTTTTTGCTTTTGGTTTTGGGGGTTGGATTCGAGGGTTTTATTGTCTATTTACCTGTTTAAGAAAAAATAGCCGAACTGGGGGGCGAAAAATGATGAAAAACTGGCAATTAACTTTCAGATATTCCAAATTCGACAAAAAATGCGCCAACTTTTTGGCCAAGTGGCTAGCGAGTTTGCCCGCCAATCTGACGACCCGGGTTCGATTCCCCGCCGCGTCAAACCTTTTACTTTTTGCCGTTGGGATGTTTGAGGGATATGGCCATATCCCCCGATCGATCATCTGCCCCGTATCGTCAAATATTGCCTGTGGGCATTGGGGGTAAACTTTGACTGGGGGGTAATCCCCCCGGCGGTTTTTGGCGGTATATTTGAAGTGGAGAAGAGGGGGCCTCTACCCACCCCTAAAAGACAGACAAACAAACATAGCATGACATCTTAGGAGGGGAGGGAACTTTATTACTACTTGAGAGGGAGGGGATTGATGCATCAAAGGAGGGGCCGAGGCGAGAGAGGCAGAGAGAGAGAGGGAGAGAGGGTGGAGAGAGAGAGACAGATAAACCTATTTTTTTGGCTATTTTAAATTTTTAAAAAATCTCAAAAATCGAAGTTTGCAATTTTACGCGATCTTTCCTATTAAAATACCTGTCGTAATCCGGTTTTTTGGACAGAAAGCCGTAGGGATTTTAATAGATTTTTCACCATTAAATTTCCTATCGGATCAGTGATTTATTAAGAAAAATGAGAAGAGAGAGAGAGAGAGAGAGAGAGAGAATTTCCAAAATATCATTTTAACGATTTTAATAGACTTTTCCGCTATTAAATACCTAGAATAATCGATTATTTTCAGGGAAAAATAGAGAATTTTTTAAAATCTTAATTTTTGTCAGAATTAGATTTTTTAAACAATTTTTTACCTCGATTTTTGCAGGCTCAACTGGGTGGCCCCCTGGATGCGACAACGGCCGACCCATCAGTCTACTCCCTACCCACCAATCTAGCAGGTATGTCATTTGGAGCATTGCGTATTTCTGGAGCGTAGATTTTATGAATTTCATTGCGTAATTGTTTATCTTTGTTTTCAGGCTCCTCGCTGGCCGCTGGGGCATTCGACTATACGGCACTACACCCACAAACAAGCCTCGCCGCAGCCACCGCGTTGAGGTACTGTACCGGGCAGGCTGGCAGTGTCTATTTGGGAATTGGACGAGACTGGGCTAGCTAGCAGAGATCATTTAGGAAGGCTGGAGAAACGAGCAGAAACCATTCTTTAAGCTCGATTTTACCTAGAAAAGTTTGGGGGCAGCTAGCAGAGGAAATTTGGGAAGGATGCGAAAATCGGGGTATTTAGCAGAGATCGTTTAGGAAGTCAATAAGAGCAGGGCAAACTAGCAGAGAAAATTTGGGAATTTCGGGAGCCAATTAGCAGAGTTTCTTGAGGAAATCAAGATTTTTCTCTGGGTTAAAAGTCGGGGGCAACTAGCGGAGAAGATTTGGGAATGGTAAGGGCAATCTGGCAGAGACAATTTGGGATTTTTGGGGGCGAATTAGCGGAGTTTATTGAGGAATTTTCTACCGTAATTACCAGTGTAATTTCCCTCTTTTTCAGCAACACTTCCATCCCGGTGCCAACTGGCTCGAAGCGTAAAGTGGGTGGAGGAGCGAAGAATGGTGCTGCTTCATCATCCCTGACGTCTTCCTCATCATCTGCCTCATCTGCCATCCCTTCATCAACAATTCAATCGGCATCTGCTGCTGCTGTCTCTTCGATTATTGGCAATGGAGCATCAGCTGGAGCAGGAGCCGGAGGAGCATCATCCGCTGCTGGCCCCAGCAAGATTTCCAATGGTACGTTTTCGTATTAACTAGCGTAATTGGTTACGAGGTGGAATTTTTTGCGATTTTTAGACCAGAATTAACGTTACTATTTTATTTTTTTTGACGGCTTTGGGGTTAAAAATTAGCTGTGTTTTAGCTTTTGGAGCCAGGAATTACCTAGCGTAATCGGTTACTATTCTAATTTTGACGCCATTTTTGTGGTCTGGAATTAGCTGTCGTTTTAAATTAGAAATTGGCGTTTTGAATTACCTATCGTAATCGATTTTTCAGGATAATTTTTTAAGCGCTTTAAAGCGAGACTACCATTTTTTAATTATCTATCGCAGTCTATTGGCTATATGCTGCATTTTCAGTGTCGCTGCCCCATGGCCATCACCCCCATCAACAACCCCATCATCCCCATCATCATCACCACAAAGCCCCATCCTCGATGGCATCAGGGGATGATGGTGGATTATCAGATGATGATCGTTCTGAGGATCGAGATGTTGATAGAAGATCCGCCAATAATGCACGAGAACGGTAAACATATTATCGATTGATTGGCCTGTCTTTGCGAGTGAGAGCATGTGTTTTTTTGGAATTTGGTGGTGGTGCTTTTCGCCTGATTTTTCTTTGGTTTTTCAGTGTGTTTCGCGAGGTTAAAGGGATCGGCAATTTTTTCAATAGATTACGCCATGTTTTTCGGGAAAATTAGGCGATTTCTAGCGTTTTAAAGGGGGCTGGCCGCCAAAAAAACCGTCAGAATCACAAAATTTTTATTTTAAAGGGACCGACAACTTTTCGAATCGATTACGCCATGTTTTTCGGGTATATAAACTTGTTTTCCATAGTTTCAAATCAAATTTCCTGTTTTTTTAAAGGGTCCGGAAGCCGAGAATTCCGCTAAAAACGCCATAATTTTGATTTTAAAGGCCCCAACAAAATTTCTAATCGATTACGCAATTTTTTTCGGGCCAAATTTAGCGTTTTTTAGGGTTTCTTAACGGGACCAAAATCGAATTTTTGGTTCTGCTTTTCCCCTTTGTTTCCCGCGTGTAATTGGTTTCGTAAAGGGTATGGTGTCGTGCTCTCCCACCCCTCCGTGCTGCTGCTCCATCTTCTTCTTGCTCATCTACCACCACCCGCCCTTCCCGCCGTCGCCGTTCATCTTCTGGGGATGAGGATGAGGATTGTTCATCTTCTACTCGATCCCTCTCTGCCTCTTCTCGACGTCTTGCCAATAATGCACGGGAACGGTAGGGACGAGGAATGCCTGACTGTCGCTGTCCCTTTAGAAATGTAGACAACCGCTTGATCTGTCTGTCGCTGTCCCTTTAAAGCGGAATTTCGTTTTTATACTGAAAATCTAATGTTTTCTCGTGGCCAATTGGTAACGTGTTAGCCTGCCACCCACACGACCCGGGTTCGAATCCCCGCGCCGGAAAAGTTTTTGCTTTTGCCTGAAATTTTGGGAAAAATATTTTAAAGGGACGGTGCCTTGAAAAGTGCATGTTTTTGTGTGTATTTTTGCATGTGCTTGGATAGAAGAATGTGGTTTTTGGAAGCGTGTAGTTGTGGTGTGTAGCCTGTAGTCTAACTCGAATCTTTGCAGGATCCGTGTCCGGGATATCAATTCGGCGTTCAAAGAATTGGGTCGTATGTGTTCACAGCATTCCCAGGTGGGTTACGCCATGTCCATCTCGCCCGTATCTGAGGTGAGAATTTTTCGATGGATTTTCGAGTATTTTTGGCGTTAAAATACCGCAGTAATCAATATTTTTGGAGGGTAAGAGCGCGATTTTCCCCATAGATTTTAGAGATTTTTCGCGTTAAAATACCTGGCGTAATCGATTATTTCAATAGGTTTTCTCGCTATTAAAATACCTATTGTAATCGATTGATTCTGAAGGGTTTTTTTGGAAAAAGCATGATTTTTTGAGAGGGCACAACCGCCCATGGGTTCGGTCCAGATGGTTCAAGGGAAAGGGCGTACTGTGCGTGTTTTTCGCGCGTTGCGTGCGGGTGCGCGGAATAGCAACCGGTTTTGAGCTGCGAAGGCCTTCTTTCGCAATTGCGCGACGCGTCTATCGCACGCGTTGCGGTCTTCCCTCCTTTCCAAAGCTACCGGACATTTTCTTAGGAGCCGGGCCGCTGTGAGGGGTTTGAGTATTTTTGGCGTTGAAATACATAGCGTAATCGAATATTTTGGGGGTTAGCGAGTGAGACTATCTAATTTCCCGATTTTCCAGGCAGCGAGCGGTGACAAGACGCAGACGAAACTCGGCATTCTCCACCAGGCCGTCCAAGTGATTACAGCCCTCGAGGAACAGGTAACGATTTTGAGCCGTTAGCGTTTTTCCCGATTTTTAGGCAGGCTAGCGGGGGTTTTTGGGGAATTTTTGGGACTGGAAAATTTTGCCGGTGGTTTTTGACGATTGCCAGCGATAATCCCGTATCTGCCGGGGTACTGTAGCTTCAAAATAAAATTATAGAATTTTTAAAGAGGCTGGAAACCAGGGAAGATCGGGAAATTCTTTTTCTGTTTTTTTTTTTCTTGAAGAAATTGGCCTTTTCCAAGTGTCTTGACCTAAAAACTTGACCCCTGTTTGCCTTGAGAATCCCTTTAAAATTGATTAATCTCCTAATCCGTCCAGTTCCAGGTGCGCCAACGAAATCTGAACCCGAAACAGGCAGTGATGAAACGACACGGAAATGATGAGAATAAACAGAACATAACTGGAGGAGGGGCTACGGTAGATCAGTACGGTAACCCCCTCGTTTCACCCTATTGATCGATTTCCCCAATTCTCTCTGCTAGCCCTCCCCCTCTTTCCGTACAAAATGTGATGCCGCCAATCTTTTCAACATTTTCTAAAAATTGTCATTTTCTCGATTTATATTTGAAATCCCCCTATCTCGTTCTCGCCCCTGAATTCCATGGCGTAATCGGTTACACCCCCAGTATTTATTTCCACGATTTTTGGAGCAAATTCCGAGCGTTTTCGAGCTGTTCACCCAATTTTACGCGCCAAACTACAAACTACAAAAATTTGGAATTTTTTGGACTTTCTAGCGCCGGGAATTTGATCGCCTAATCATTTACTCACCTCACTTTCCGTATTTTTGGGAGCAATTTCTGCGGTTTTAGCCTAAAAATCCGTTTCTACAGCCAAAACCACAAAAATTCCAGAATTTTCCCGTTTTTCCTGGCCAACGAGCAGAGACCATTTGACCGGAATTTGCCATCCTTTTCCAGGCCCTAAAATCCCCCGTTTTTTAGCTCATTTTATGACGCGATTCTGTGTATTTCTCTGTGTTTTTCTGTGTCTATCTATGGCTATATTGTGCATCATCATCATCATCATCCAATCCAATCAATTCCTCCATCAAAGATGTCCACCCCGCTTGTATTTCTATTTCTCTTCTTTTCTCTGCTTATTTGTATTCCTCTCTGCAATCTCCTTTCCTTTCTTTTCTCCTCCTCCTCTTTTGTCGAAAGTTTTATATAATAAAGTATTTGCAAGTCGGCGAATCGTTTCTGAAAATGCATCTCACTGTTCCACTGGCAGCCACAGCTTTCGCACATCCACACAACAATGCAAATATTTAGAATTTTAGCGTTTGTTTAAACGCTTAAACGCGTTTAAAGCGGCTGGAAAGTCGGGGTTAGCGGGCGTAGCCCGCTAACCCCTTTTGGTTTGAGGTACCCCCCCATACGACTCTTTTGGGGTCCTTTTCCGGATTTAAAAAAAACCAAGCATCGGATCGCAAAACTGAATACACCATCGGAACCGGCGACACTTTTTACATACTATAAGCTTTTAAAAATTGAAAAAGAGTGAAATTTCGAATTTTAACAGCCGATTTAAATCGCGTTTCGAGGGGGGGGGGTCTGCGTTTGTATGTGTGTGTATGTACGCAAAACCTTTGTAGTCCTCAAAAAGTGCCTTCCCACCATCCGTTTGGGCTGAAATTTTGCACACTTATTGGGTGAATGATAATCTCGGACCGCAAGAAGAGTTTTTTTCAAAATAGGCTTTTAAAAAATTTATATTTAATTTTTAAGTTTAGAAGCTAAATTGCGGTCAAAACAATGGTTAGTGATGTCCGTTTGGGCTGAAATTTTGCTCAAATATACATTAGACCATGCTGGAATAAGTAAAGAAGAAATTGCAACGAAAGAATGCTTCTTCTCTGAGATATTATAACTTTAAACCTTCGCCATACGGGGCGCCACCCTCCCCTTTGGCGGCCCCAGTCCCGGGTCAGGGCGGGCGGGTCTAGCTTCCCCAAGACAGGCCTCCAGTCTCCCCGTTGGCCTAGTGGTTAGCACGCTGTACTGGGAAGTCTTGGCTCCCGAGTTCGAACCCCACCCGAAGCAAGGTTTTTGCCGATTGGCCCCCGTGCATCCTTATGGTTTCTAGTGCCGTCACAAAGCGCCGCAGGCAAATTTTTTTTGAAGTTGTGCGTACAAGAGTTCATCTGAATAAGTATTCAATGGCTTATTTTACGATCTTAACAATAAGATTGAGGCAAAAAGGGCTAAATTCTCTCTAAGGCTAAAAAGAGTCTTTTAAAAAAAGGGCTTTTGGTTTTCGCAAAAAGAGACGAATTCTCGTGGCAACAAAAAGAGCTAAATTCCTTTCAAACTCTTAACAATTCCACAGAATGTGGGATCAACCAAAAGTTGCTGGCACCTTATTAAAATGGACAGATCCAGTTTCTAGCGGTTTCGGCTTGCAAATAATTTCTGTATTATGATCTATTTGCACTTTCTTGAAATTAATCTGTGGACCTGACCTGTGATCTGGGATGGTACCGAGTTTATTAAGATTTTAAGTAGCCAGCAACTTTTTGTTGTTCCCGCATTCTGTGGCATTTTTAAGAGTTTGAAAGGAATTTAGCTCTTTTTTGTTGCCACGAGAATTCGTGTCTTTTTGCGAAAACCAAAAGCCCTTTTTTTAAAAGACTCTTTTTAGCCTTAGAGTTTACTTCTTGCCTCGACTGGGTGTCGACAACGGCGCTCCAAAACCGCTGGCATGCGCGTTAGAATTTGCCCGGCCCGTCATTTGGTGTAACACGCACGGTGCATCGTCGCAACGTCAAAACTTTTCGCGTGTTGGTTTCTCAGTTTCTTTTTGGCATCACGGCTCGTCAGCCCTTACCAAAAACGCACTTTGGGGGGGGCGGCGTCTCTCTCCCCGCGGATAGTGGGTTAACTCCCCGGGCGAGCCCCGCGCACCCCCCGGGTTCGGTTCCTCTCGGGTACAAATCCCTCCATTTCATGAAAATTCTTTTGCTTTTGCTCCAATAGTATCACAAAGCCTCTGGGAGGCAGTAATCCAAATCAAACTAGCGAGTTACGGTTAGAATTCGGAAAATAGCGGCCAGAAGCATTTTTGCCGGAAAGGACCCCAAAACAGTCGCGGATTCGCTATAAAATCAGTTTTTGAAGGCGGCGGGTCAATTTTTAACTAAATCTCAAGATGTATTACCAGTTGGGGCCTTTACTTTAGTAGATTCGGACATTATCTTACAAGCTGCCGCCTCGTTTTTTGAAAAAAATTGGTGTTTGAACCCATTTCCTGAAACGACACATGATAATTCAGTAATTCTCGATTCACGCTCTCCGATTTGATATAATTATGTAGAAAATGGCCTTATAAAGTCCGATTATTCGAAGCTCCAAATTATCGCTTTCAAAAATTGTTTAGTTTTCCAAAAGCTTTTATATTTCAGTCAGAATAGTATATTTTTCGTTCGCACAACTCATTAACAACTTATTGATGGTAGCTTATAGCAAGAGGACGAAACGCTCGATGTAAAACCACTTTTTCGGAAATTTGTGAAACTTTAGGCTCAAATAACTCCTTATTTCCTTGAGAACGCCCTCTGCAACCCTCACCGTTCGATAGAGAATTTTTATCTCTATCGATTCGTCAAGCCTCCCGAATTTTCGAAATCATGCCAAGAAAGTTATTGCAAGAAAACTACAAACTTTGCTTTTTCTAATATGGGCGGCGCCGCGGCACAGGGACCAGTGGCAAAAGGCGCGCCCCGTACTAAAGTGCGCTTTGACGAGCCGTGGCATATTACAACATTTTTTGCTTAAAGGGGTAATCGGTGTGCTGCGAGAGCCGCTTTAAGGCTCCACGTTGCCACGCTGCAGAACTAATAAAAGTAGTGGTTTTTCGGCGGGAAAGCAGCATTTTTGCGGCATCTTGGTGCTACAAGCAAGCGATCTAATTTCCATTGTTCCAACGCGGCGGCGCCTTCGCTAGCGGGATTCAAGCGTCTTTCAGCTCCTGGCTAGGTCTTTGCTTCCTCTCGCTGAAAGCAGATTCTATTCTTATTCTCCTTTCTCTGCTTGATCTAATGCTTGTTTTCCATTTCTGACTCGTTGTTGCAAGTGCATCAAATCAACAGTCCTTTTTTCAGGTAAACAGACAACTCGACGCTTCGATGGATCGTTATCAATTCGAGAAGGAGCTACTCGCTCTACAGGACGATGGAGTGACGGATATTGGCATCGTCGAGGAGGGCAACAAGAAGGGAGATGAGGGTGATAATGGAGGGAAGGAAGTCAACAAATCGACGCTCAACATCTACGATCTTCCGGTCGTTCTCTTGTGGGAGATTCTGCAGCCGCTGGATGGTGATGACCTCCTCTCGATTGCTCGTCTTCATCACAATCTCCTCTACGCGACAAAACATCTGAAGGACAAGTTCTTCAGCTGTGTAAAATGTGTGACCGCAGTTCATCAGCTTCAGTATCCCTACTGTCAAACACCGGAAGTACTGAAGGTTATTCTTCACGGGGCGCACGTCGAGTATCTCGACTTCGACACATATGCTCGCCCATTCGATGTTGACGGACTTGAGTTGCATAATCTCCGTTTCGATGGCCGAAAAAATGACGACAATGTGGCCAGTGTCATCGAAAAGCTGAAACCTAAATTGCTCCAGTTCCGGAGCTATGATCACGAGACGATGACACCGATGTTGTGTCAGGCTCTCTCGACTATTCCCACTCTCTCGCTTGGCGATGTTGGAATGGAACTTCTCGATATCATACTCCAATGGAAAGGCGAGTTTTTGACCTGCATCCTGGATCTCTCAGCGAATTACGAGAAGTCGTCTCGCTTCTTTGATGTCGTCAGACAACTTCTCGATGAAAGGAAGAATGGAGTGCCAGCCCCATTTGAACTAGATATCCACTTCAAACCCCCGTTGCTCCATGATCAGCTTGATGAAAATATTCTTGGACCGGATTACCCATTGGTGTTCAACGGCTGGAGCTACGGCTGTCGCCTCAACAATCAACAACAACAACAAATCCATATCCGAATCAGACTTTTCGAAATTTCCTGCCGCCTTTCCTAATTTATGTCGTGTTTTTGCCAAATTTCCGGCGTTTTTTTGATTGCTCCACTATTTGAAGCATCATACCATTTCTCATGCTCTCTCAATGCGCCGTTTCCCTTATTTTAATCAAATTGCCTGAAATAAAATGTCAAGTTTCAGGCTGTGGGCACGAAATGGCAGCTCGAGGTGCGGAAATGGGCCAATGTAATGGAAAAAGAATGGGATGCGCTAAAAGGTCATGTCTATTTTGAAAGTTCTTTTTTTATATTTTTTAGGAAACTCGCGAGGGACGGCGGCGACGGTGATGTTCCGGAAGACATGGGCTGCTGCTGTTGAATCGCGGTTCGTGATCGGACCCTCTACTTCTCCGTCTTGCTTTTTTAGATTCCCCGTTGAAGGCTAATCGACAAGAGGAGGGATCAGC